CCCCCCTTAAACAGACCCAGCTTCCACAATTAGCAGGGACTCAAAATGAGTTAGTTATGGAATACCTTAGGTCCCAGAGGTCTCATGGAGATATTTACACCTCTTTGGACTATTTCCAGGACCCCAGATTATGCTATACTGGTAAATGAAGGAAGTCTCACAATCCAATGGCTCTATCTGGAACTTGTAACATGGCCATATCTTGTGCCCCATTTTCCAATGCTTTTCTTAGCCTCGTTTTAACAATTTTACCATCCTGGAAGATAAACTCTCCACATTCTTAAAATATGCTTTAGAAAAATTTTTTGTCCCTTTCCTGAATGTGCCTGGTTCTATTACTCTAGTATAAAAAAAGAAATATTGAGTACTAATCATTTTTTTCCCTTGGCATTAAAGTCATCTAGGGTTATATTTGCATTAACCTGGCCAGGTTATAAAAACCATCCAACACCTATATCATGCTGTTTCTTTGCTTAAAATAATAAATTGGTTTCACTTAATAAAATACAAAACCAGATGAAGTCAACCTGTGTACCCAACAGTTGAGAACATACATTAAGCTGGTGGAGGAGAAAAAAACAAGGTGCTGAGGAGGCCACTCTCCTAGCCATCACTCAAGGTCAGTTATAGATCACACATTCGAGAAAAGCTAAAATATAAGTATTTCTTATTATATTTTGAGATATGTGGCTTATATTGTATACCCAGAAAACCTGAGCTTGGGTTTGTTGTTTTCCTCTGTCTTGGGGACTTTCCTTGTCCTCATAGGCCCATGTCTCTAGGCACACTTCTCAATTGGACACTGTTGCCTAAACATAGGACCTGGCACACAGGTCCTTAAGAAACATGTGTTCAATTTGTTTTGGAACTTGAACAAGGAAACCTACAGTGTCTGGAGAAACAGTGCAAGTCCAAGAATCAGGAAATTAGTTAGCTGGACAAGGTTTGGTAATGATAATGACCATGGTGATAGTTAGCTTTTGATGATTATATGCAACCAACACTCTTATGAGAAACTTTAAAAATATAATCTCATTTTACATTAATCATCACAACACAGACTTTAGAACCCCTTATTTGACTAGTAACTTAACTGAGGCTTTGAGAAATAAATAGGTCCGTAACCACATAGTTATTAAGCATATGTTTTGCTGGTATTAATACGCACATCCTTTCCATGCCAAAAGTAATGCCTTTTTTACACTTTCTAGTCTGTTACTTCATTTTTCATGTGTAAAATTTTAATGGTTGCTAAGTTCTCTTCCAGTTTTAAGGTACTCCAGACATAAGGTCACACATATCTCAGGAAAATTTACAGTTCGGTTTGCTTGTTGATTCCAAAGCTGCAAGAGGGTTGGGGGTGTAGCTCAGTGATATAGTGTTTGTTTCACATGCACAAAGTCCTGGGTTCAATTCCCAGTGCTGGAAAAAAAATCTTGCAAAAGACAAAGGAATGACTTTTCAAACCTGAAAATTCAGGAAACCTGAAAAGAAATGGGAAATGGACTTAGAGGGAGCTTAAGCCTTAACAGAGTTTCTCAAATATTCCTAAAGTTTGAGTTAGCATTGCCTTTTTATGGCAGCCAATATTCATTGATAACTTCCTATGTTTGAGACACTACATCAAAAGTTTATGTGTATTACCTCATGGAAATCTCAAACCCTTATGGGGCACAGCCACTTTTATTCCCAAGTAATAGACAAGGAAACCAAACTTAACTTGCCCAAGTTCACATATAGTAAAGTTAGAAATCAAACACAAAAATATTTATGAAGTCTATAATTTTTCATTTTGAGAGTATACCATTTCTGCATGCTATTTTTTGCTTATTTATCTATGTGCATTTAATGTGATTTATATCTATGTTTTTCTTGTCATACATTTTCAAACAAACCCCATGGAATGTAGATCCGTTTAGTAGCTTAGTTTGTTTGCTAGCACATAGTCCAGTGCTGGATATGTGGTGATACTTAACAAGTATCTCATGATGCATGCCTTTCAGTGCAATTAAATACCTTTGGGTCATTCTCAGTCACATGCCTCTCAGTTACAGACTATGCTTTCCTCTCCCTATATATATTTCTTTCTGTCCAAAATGGTTAAATTAACAAGCATCAAAAGAAAATAGAAAGTCCACACCAATGTGAAAATTTGCCAAACTTGACCTGAGAAAAATCTCCATAGAGAAAACACAAGGCTTGGATGAATGATTGACATAACAGAAATCCTACCGCATAGTGTTCCCACAGTTCATCCCATACTTATTACAAGGGATTATTGACACTTTCAGAAGATACAATCTCAGGATCCTGATAGCAAATTAACTTTGGCATTAAGAGTAATTGAAGTTAGATGTTGCTCTGTGCACCAGGACAGACAATTTTCATTTTAACTCAGACTTATGTTGCACAATATTATTAATCTACTTGCATGTATGAAGCAAAAATTCACATACATTTCTCTTCTGTTTTTATACTTTGAAAGAAATGACCTCCAATTACATAACAAATGTACAAACACTCAATAAGAGACACTTTTAGATATTGTAACTATATGGAAGGAGGAAGACATTGTAGAATCTATAATTTTTATCAAGTGTGTTTGTTCACTTTAATTTTAGCCAAGTACACATTTTGTGAAATAACACTAATAAGGTGTGCTCTTTTTCTCTATTCTCAAATTCTTCACAATGAAATCCAACTGCTATATTCATTTAGAAATTTGATAATGCTCTCTTGTGTGAGTTTTAGGAATATTTGAAACCCCATTGCATATAAATTATATCATGGAAAAGCTGTATAAATATTCTATTATGGCACATGCTGTTCTTAGGATCTGTCAGGATTTCCTTTATACACTCCATTTTGAGTGGTATATAAATCAGATGTAAAAATTCATGTTGGACTGAAACTCGGCACAAAAAGCCTCCTCCAGAGGCAAATGCTTTTTTCCAAGTGTGGTTTGAATTATGTTGGTCATTTTTAAGTTATAGAAGTGCAGAAAATGTATTTGTGGTTTTGAAGGAGAGAGATTTTTTTCCATTTTTATAACTCATTAGGAAACTTTACAGGCCTTTAGACCATTTTGTGGTTTAGTTCTTCTCAGGTTTTTCCCCAAAGCAATATTAAAACTTGAATGGTGTCCGCTATGAGTCCATTGATGACTGTTCTGAATACAAATGTCTGTGCAGGTATAGATAGTTGTACATATCTTCAACCAGGAGAAGTTCCAATAATATCATGACTGAGGTAGAATATTAGGCCTCTATTTTGCTCTTGGTATCCAAATTTAATCTATCAAAGGAATCCCCTACCTAAACTACAGTTCAGTGTGGATTCTTTTTCATTATAAAGCTGCATCTTTAAATTGCAGGAAAATCCACTGAGTTAAATGCTGCTTCTTTTATGAACCCTTTGACAATAAGGCTATACCTTTCTTAAATTCTGTTTTCTCTCACTTACAGAGCAACCTGCAGCATGTTTAACAGATATTCACTGATGACTGTCTCATGCATAAAGTATTTAATATATGCAAGTGTATGTAGAGAAATTAGTGTGCTAAATACCATTATTTTGTTTCTACAGTGAGTATGCTGTTGAGTAAGTTTATAAACATTTAAACTATTGTTTTCACATATATACAATTATGATTCTATTAGCTCTCTTAACAGCATCAGTTAAAATCTGAAAAAGTTGGATTTGGACTAAGAGAGTTGACACAATTCACAAAGTTGATTAAGTTACTCTTTCAAATGACTTTAAAAGAAAATGAAAGTAGAAATACTTCATATGCCGGAATTGCTTCAACCTAGACTACATTTAGTTCATTAATGCATTAAAACAACACATTTAGTAGTTACTATTTATTGTTGTATACATTAAAACAAAAAGAGGTTAAAAAGTTCCAATGTCATAGCTTATAGGTTTTTTTCACTAAATTCTACATAGAGAACTAAAATCTGGGTGTTTTCATTCCTACTACCATTCCCTTTTCATCGTATTACATTATTTCTGATACAGTTACTAAACTCTTTATGTTTAGGGACAGTTAGAATAGATCACTCAGAGGATAATCAAATATTTGCCTGTGGTGAGAGGAGCAGTGTGGACTTGTCCTTCGGGACACTGTGCAGAGCAGAAGGAGACTAACTCCTCCTGAATACTTTATCTACTAACCCAGTGTCATGGAACTTAGCCAACACTGCACTATCGGGAGAACTGAATGCCAGGGAATTTTTTTTTCACATTAATAGGAGAGCAGGGTTACTAATGAGGGGTCACATCCCAAATCTCTAATCTATATAGCTGAATATCCTTATTTCTATTTGGGTCATATTTTATTCTGCTCCATTTACTTTTAGTAAACTATACTAATTTAGGTCCCATAATCTTACATTTGGTTATAATTATAAATTATATGTAATTTATATATCATTCACATACTTAACATCATTCTGCTAGTTTATAATTTAAGTATTATCTCTTATGATTTAACTTAACATGTATCACTCCAAAATTCCCTATATGCCTCAGTTAGTCATTAAAATATTTTGTTTTCATTTTTGGGAAAGGTCTACAAGTTTCTGAGAACTATGTACATACTGAATATATAGTTTTATGTTAATCAGAAATGTTTCAAAGTAGAGCACAGACACTTTAAAAGTACTAAAAATAAATATACTTTAAATGTCAAAATAAATAGCTTATGAAGAGTCTGAATTTCGTGGTTTAAAATTAATTTATAACTCATTAAGCAAGTAATACACATATTATAGTTCCCCTACCATCTATTACTTTATACCCATTTTTTTTCACATTTATAGAAGAAATAACAGAACTATTTGACTAGCATTGACCTTGTTAAGCCTGACACCACTGTTTTACATAGCAGGCAGTATATCTTTTTTAAAGTAACTATTTCCTACAGCATGTGATATAAAGGACAGCATTAAAATCTTTCAAGATGATGAATAACAAATAATTGCAAGATATATCCTCACCTTGATTTTACCTTTAAGCAGCCTTTTATTTGTCTATTAGAAACTTCTTCCCGTGGCTTCACAGGCTCTGGCTCTTGTTCTTTCTTTTGACAAACCAGTGCATAATTTGTGCCATTATTATTTGACCAAAATGTACCAACAGAAGTTTCATAACGTATACAAAACTCAACTTTACTGCCATCTTTTTGATAAGGAGGAACTAATGAAATCTTAAAGGAGAACTGATCAGTTTCACCATCACATGAATTAGGAATATATTCTGCTAAAATGTCATAATGTGTCTGCCAGTCATCTAAGGACATTCTCACATATACTAACTTCTCAAAAGAAATATTCAAAACTCGAATAATGCCTTTCATACTTGTAGACCCAGGAAGATATTCAGTTGACTCTAATATTGCTTTCTGTACTTGAAGTTGTTGCATGAGATCTTCTTTTGAAGAAGGCAAATCAAAGAGTGGAGATAGTACGTACTCTTCAGTATGGAAAACATCCTTCTTTAAGTCAAAATTGGTTGAAACACTAGGTAATTCCCAGCAATCAAATTCTTTAATGGACACAAGATTGAATCCAAAGTTGTCAGCAAATGAAACTCTTCTGGTACCTGAAGTTGGGGTGTCCAGGTACATGTCTTCAGAAGATTCAGAACCTCGTCTACTGGGTTGAGGAGAGAAGCCAGGCTTGAAATTATCTCCAACGTCTTCATCTTCACAAACAGAATCAGATAAATTAGGAACTTCTAAAAAATTATCTTTGCTAATCTGACTGGGTACTTCAGAAGGCTCCATTGGGCTCTCTGATATCAAATAAGAGAGAACTATACAACTAGTAGGGGCTGATATTTGAGATACTGAGGCTTAAAATAAGTGTAATGTTACAGTTGACATTGCAAAAAGGAGTCAGCTCTATAAATAGGCTCAATGGCGTGTAAACTATGCTAGCCTGCCTCCAAAAGCCTTTAATATGATAGCATCCACGCTTGCTCTCGCCAGTGTGTCAGATTTAACTCTCAGTATTTAACGTTGCATTTGTTTATTAACTGAATTCCAAAGAGGCACTTATAGAACATTGTTCACTGTTAGAAATTCTGAAAATTTAGGATGAAAATATTTTAATTGGTTGATCTTAAAAACAAAAACTTAGAACATTTTAAAAGGAAATAAAACTAGTAAAATAATACTAAACTTATAGTTTAATTTAAATCAATCCATGGAACCGGGAAAGGGAGACAGGGGAGTATAAGAACATTTATAGATTTGAAGTCTGTTAATAATGATAGCAACAGTGATTGGAGACTTAAAATGTAAAACGTTTACTAGAAAAGGGTTAAATAGAAGTGTAGAAATTTCTGAGGAAGGAAACATTATTTAGATAAAGGAGAGAACATTTGAAACAAACCATAAAGAATAGGTGGAATTTAGACATGCAAGACTGAAGTGGATTTTTCCAGGTAGAAGAAATAGTCTGAGAAGCAGCCAGAACAAAGAATTAACCAAATCTGTTATTTTAAACATTAGTTTCTTTTCATTAAGTCATGGAAAAATACACATAAGTCATGTTATTGACTTGAAAATATAAGTGGACAAAGGTTAGTCTACCTCAAGAATAAAGTATTAATGTAAAATAAAATATTCATCTTTGGCAAATTGCCATTTTATGCCCACAATATAGAAGTTGAAACCATATCATCCTGGAGTTCATTGTAAATTTTAAAGTGTGAACAGCCCATTTGGACCCTCATGTTATTTGTGCCAATGTAAAAACCCACTTTACGGATGGCAATTTGAGAAAAAACATGTAAAAAAATGAATGTATATATGTTTTAACCCTGAAATGCTCCAGCAAGAAATCTGTCCTATCAGTATGGGAAGTATGCAAAAATAAATGTAGATATATATTCATAGCAGGATTGTTTAAGTTTCTTGAAACTATCTAAATATAAATTAATGGAAACTGAATAAATAATGTTACTCCATTGCAATTGAATGTTTAACAGTCATTAGAAGACTAAAATAGTGCTTTATGTACTGATATGAAGAGATAACCAAGATAATTAGCTACATGAAAAAAAAAATGTACACAGATACATGCATAGAAAATCCCTGGAAAGACACACACACACACACACACACAAATAAAATTGTTAGCCATGCTCACCTCTAACCACAGAGGTTGAAGATTGCAAGGTAAACATGGCTCTGTCTATTCCTTGCTCTCCACAGTAGTCTGTGTATTTGAAATGTTAGTCATGAGTATGATTTTCTTTCAAGTATTTACAAATTAAATTAAATTGAAAAAATATGAAGTGTGAGAGGTGATGAATGTTTTTTCAATGAAAGAGCCCAATGGCATAATTTCTTTCAAAATACAACTTCATAACTATGTTATAACTAATAATTTGCATTGCATATAGTAGTTGATGAAGAAATTATTTTTTCAAAGTGAAAAATGGATGATACCAAGGAAGTGAAGAAAATGAAATTATTTAGCCTTTACCTTATCCTCGTAGCTAGAATGATGATGAATACATGATTTGTTCAAGATTGGCAAGTGGCTACTCTTGCCTGCAAGTTTGATAACCAGAAACAGACCTATTCTAAGATACCTAAATATATTGCATGTAGTCAAGTTAATTAGCTACCAAATACTTCATAGAATTTGTAAAAGAGACCATATAGGCATATAAATAATAGAATGATGAAAATTCACTATGTAATAAGGTACTATCCAGTGATTCAATGAGATGAAAACCCCAGGGTTCATATCATAAATTCTGCTGCTTACTACTTGGACAACCTATAGAACGTTGCTCAATTTTTCTAATCCTTAGTTTTCTTGATTGCTCCAAGACAATGTTTACAGTAAATTAAGAAGCTTCTTAAATGTCTAGCACAAAATCTATAGTAATCATTACAGGTAGTAATCATTATTCTTATTCCTATGTTTGTGAAAGGCAAATTTATAAGATATATCAATAGATTTTGATAGGCAGAGATGAAGGCAGGTGGAAAGATAGATGTGCTATAGGGAATCTACATATACAATATTAAGAAATTATTTGTAACTTGTTTCATTTTGGTCTTTTTCAAAGATTAAATAATGTAGTATTTAGCTTTACAAATCATAAACCGTCTCTGCATTAGGAGATAGTCCTGTTACTTAATCTAAACTTTTCTCTTTTTAATCCATCTCTACAAAGAGCAGTGCCTCTCTTTTGGAGTTTACAGCCTTTACATGACTATAGACAGTTGTCATGTCCACCTTCCTCACCACTTAGCTAAAGCACAGGGATAGCATCTTTTTCATCTCTTGTCACGTGGCAGCACTCCATTGCTTTTTATCATTTTGCTTCTCCCCTATGAATGCCTTCCAGCTTTCCTTTATTTTTCTATTAATGGGTTGCCGCCAGATGAATGTAATGTTGTAGATCAAGTGTCTCTGGAGCATGCTAAGAAACAAACACTACTAGCCTCAGCTTTGTGACTTGATGTTTGTATTTAGTTAAAATTCACAACTCCTTGTTTATTTCCATATCAGATCAGATAGACATCTCATTTTCTTATATCCACTACCATTTCAATTTCAGTATAGCTTGAACTACACTCTTCCTCAGATGCTTAGGTGTTTTTGGCAGAGCAGGAGATTTTTTTTTTTTTTACAAAGTTTGGGATCTTCATCCATCCCAACCTGATTTTTGTTAAAAAAAAAAAAAAATGGGGGATTGGCTCTCAAATGCAGCTTTAACAAAACAGATAAGTCAGGATCCCAATGAATAAGACATAGATGGCCTAGATAATTCCAGGAGGGTTTATTTTCAAGGGTGTAAAGACAGAAAAGCAACAAGGGGTAGTGTGACAAACTGAGGCCAGTTGTACCAAAGCTATTGCCATCCCTCAAGGGATAAGGAAAAGGAGCAATTATTAGAATTCAAAAGCAAAAATGTGCCATAAAGAGTTTATTGGGAAAAGAACATGTAAAGGGACAAAGTCACTGGAGATGACCTTGCCAAAAGTGATCCAAAAGCAAAATACATCAAATTCATTCTTCTTTTCTATGATGTCTTAACAAGGATACCCATTGACCAGAGGGCACAGGGGATTTTATAGGTCATTCATGTCAGCTTCCTAAGGCAGATGCTTAGGAAGGGTAAAAAGGGTGGTGAGTAGATTTTGAGAAGATATATGAGATCAAATTTATATATAATGATAAAAAATTATACATTATATATGTAAACATTCAGAACTTAAAATATGTGTGTTCCTCTTTATGCATATTCTATCTCAGTACAAACTGTTTTATTACCTGCTATTTTTATTATCACACATTTATGCAAAAACAGTGAAAATTTTTAAGATCTATAAGCTCTGATCCAGTGAAAGTCACAAGAAAAACTGAATTGATCTGCAAACGTCTCTGAAAGAAGTGGTCTTTTGATATTAATTATAACTTTGTATTTGTTTCCTTTTTAGCATAGGTTTTGTCTGCAATCTCAACTCAAGAAATGTTTCAAGAGAGAATGTGGAACAATGGTTCTTAACTAGAGATGCATAGCAATGCTCACACTACAGAAGCTCAGATACACTATTGGATCTACAGAGTAACATTTTCAGGATGATGATGCTCTCTCACTGGTGATTCTGATGCAAGACTTAAAGTACTGATGACTTGTCTGCTAACCTTAAACTCAGGAACTTCCATTCACCATATAAAGACAACTTTAGCTCTCTAGTATTATGTGCTCTTTTTATATGTAAGCTATAAAATACTTTTACCAAAAATTGGCATAAAATTATATTAAAATTTTATATTCGTAGAACTTTATAGGCAGTGAACAAAGATTTAGCTATTCTTTTTACATAAGAAAACTGAAATCCAGAAAAAATGAAGGAAACTATCCAAGTGACAGAGGTGAGACTTGAACTCAATTCTCTCATGAAAATATTCAAGATTCACATAATATCATATATATGTCAAACTCTTGTTTTGAAATTCATAATGAACAAAGTAATCATTCTTTGAAAGTAGTTATTAAAATTCATTTGTTCTAGACTTGGTTTAATTTTTAATAATTAACTTTTGTGAACTTTCTTCTTCCATTTAATGGAAGATCTCCAGGGCTGTCCAGATAATTTTTCTTTGTGACAGGGTCTCTCAACCTTTTCAACCTATACCTCCTTTGATGATTATAATACCTCAAACTATCCTGTCTCTCCCTCAGGGACTCTGTTATATTTCTATTTGGAGATGGCTTATCTAAGATATAAGAATGACTTATGCAATCTCTTTAGAACTAATAATGATATTTGATATTTTTAAAGTTTGTTATAAAAGGATACTACTCCAAACATAGTTTGGGACAGATTTGTTAATCATTGAAAAAATCTTTGAAAATATTCATATCCGCCACTTGAACATGCATAGGTAAATCAGCAGGTAATGAAAATGTTACCAGATAAAAGTAAATTTTTAAAAATCTGTGTCATTTATTCCCTAGAGACTTAAACAATTCAGTATAAGTAAGTGAGTATGTTATAGAAAAAGAATTTTGCCACCAAGAATAGCATACCAATTCTTTAACTTAATTTTCAAGGAAAAAAAAAAACCTAGTATAATATTCAGTACCAGTTGTTTATTTCATATGGAATTTATAATGTGTTTTGAACTCTTTTGGCCAAAATTAAGACATATAAATGTAGAGTTACAAAAATGTAGAACTCTAAGGATACTTAGCAAGCAAGCATCAGATCTAACCCTTTCCTTTCACACTCGAGGAAACTGAAATTAAATAACCAACAGGATTCTTACCTTATGTG